TAAAATACATTTTGGAATAGTGATTTGATGGAGAAATTGTGGTTAAAAAATAAAGAAAGGTTTTGAATTTGCGTGTAATATTATTTTATTGAAAAATGTGATTGAAAATAAGAGAGAAAAATATATATATTTTTTGAAAATAATGAGAACCAAATAAGGGTTAATAATATTTGGAATTTTTTTATAAGTTAAATTTCTTTTAGTAAGCATAGTTTGATATAAGATTCTCAAATCTCAAGGTCGGCCTGACCATAACCATAACTAAGACAATTTATACTTGGCAAGTCTTCACGTAGACGCCATTGACATCATTAAAGCAGGCAGGAATCGGGGTTGTTGTGATTTTCATTCCAATTTTTGCGTCTATGTTCGTATTGAGATCTTTAATAAAGTTAATATTTTGAACCAAATCAAAGTAGACCGTAATAATATATCTATGTGCTGAAACTGAACGATAAATTAGCCTCAGGCCCTCAGTTTGCATTCTACAGGATAAGTTGAAATACTAATCAGCAATTCGTTCAAATTTAACATTTCCTTCGTCCTACCAACACTGTCACGTTCTTCCTCTTTTTTAGTAACTTCGTGGAGTCAGTGAACCGGGCAGTAGTTCGAGCCCGCAATTCCTCTAAGCTCTTAGCTTCTTCGGCTCTCTCAAGAACCTGAAAAGCAATCAGGCATTTAAGAGTTGCACTAGAGCATACACCAAAATATGCCTAAGTTACTAGGCCAACTCACCAGATGACGACCATACAAATGGGTGTTTGAGAGATCTTGAAGGGGATTCTGAGATTCTGGAATTAAATGCCTAAGAAATTTGACACTGACAATGAGCCCCGACCCACCCCCTCGTTGAACGTCCACTTGATCACATCTTGATGAAAGTAGAAAACAGAATGAGTGTCAGATCTTTTCCATGTATTAATTGTTTAAAATTGCTTACGGCAGCTAAAATTTGGATTTTAAAAAAAGCCTAGCATTTGTGCAGAAATTAAGAGGTAAGAATGAAGGGAAGCAATGATACACACGATCTGCTACTTGCAATTTAAGCATGCTGAAAACCCTACAGATACAAATGAGAAATGGGACAGAAATTGGAGGTCCATGTTGAGCTGAAATAAGTTACAACACAGTTTCAAGCTTACGTCAGCGGGCAGTCAAACTTAAACCTTTTCAATAGAAGAAACACCAAATACCAAAATTAAAAGAGGGTACAGAAATTTATGGTCAGGTTACTTTTTTATCTCAATCATGCATACCAAAGCAAACATGGTTGAAAGGAACACGGTACATGAAGTTCAGTTTGAACTCTAAAAGAAGGTAACATAATTAGGCATAACGGCAAAACAATAGCAGCATTTTCTATTTCCTTCCTCCAGCATTTCCACTTTTATCATCGCTTCTAGTAGCAAAAAGATCTATTGAAGTACAAGTTATAAGGCAATTGAGAAGGAGAAGTTCATCAAATAATAGTTAAATCAACAAAACATATTATTCCTCAGTCAAAAGTTCAGAATATCTATGCGTCATATTTATTGCAACGAAAAAATAAAGGAAAACCAGAATCATTTCATCCCAGCGTAAAATGAGAAAAACACAATCATTTCATCACAGCAAAAAATGAGAATTATCTACACATCATATGTTGTTGCAACGAAAAAATAAAGGAAAACTAGAATCATTTTTTCACAGCAAAAAATGGGAGACTATACTTGGCCAAATGGGCTAAACAGTTCTCTAAGATCGTTTTCTGTTGCTTCAAAAGCTACATTCCTTGTGATCAATTTCTTTGAACTCCTGTTGCTGTCAACTTTTTTATGTTGATGTTCATCCTTTTTAGCACGACAAAGTTGTAATATGAGGGCATGCCAGTGCAAATTAGATCTCTAGGGTGAGAAGGAAGGTGAGAAACACAAATGAAGATTCTCGTCAAATGAAATTGATACACACCAAAATTAGCAGCAGTTCAGAATATTACCTGCAGATCCCTGCAAACTTTCACTGCTGTACAACATATTCGAACTCTATGAAACCAAAACCCTTTGAAATGTTCTTTCCATTTTTGAGATGCTTCTTTACCTCAGTAAGAATAAAAAAGAATAGAAGAGAGAGCACTGATGACAACAGCAATAAATGCAATAATAGAATGTACTAGACCGGTAGTGGTACAAATTGGCAGAATCACGAAAGACCTACCCTAACACTTAGTATTCCTCCCTCGGACCACTGCCAGGGGGCCTTGGCAAAGTGGATAAACCCTCCTCCTTCCTTCACGTGCTCTGTGAAATGTCTTTTCAAGTTCTCGTCTGACGTTTTGAGATTCAGGTTCTTTGCATATAATGAGCGGGACTGCAACTCACAACAATAAGACAAAAAGATTGACTACCATTAGTAGAAATTGTGCTAAGTAAACATCAATATAACTTGAGACACCTAAAAAGTGCGTCCTAATATCTTGCACTATAAGTCAGGGAAAATGTCACAGGAATCTTAATGTTTTTGCACTTTACGCCTTCAACCTCTTACTATCAACAGATTTTTTTTGGGTGGGGGGTGGGGACGTGTGTATTGTGTGTTTATTTAACTTAGAATATCTGCAAGGAATATTAGAGTCGGAAAATTGATTAGAAACAACAATGATGAATGCTGAACTCGTGGTTTAGGTAGTTTTATGAGCTGGTAAACTGGAAAACATAAGAACATTTCCAATTTTTCAAAAGCTTTATAAAGATGGCGGAGTGACTTTTTCTTGGTAGCATTTCCTTGTTTTATGGCATTATCATTGCAAATGGGCCTTCTGGAGAAACATTATATGGTAGGTTTTGGAGGGATCTCTTCAATGGGTTATATGAAATAAATTAATTTTCCATTAACCCAATATACACCTTCATTCATTTAAAGAGAGGAAATTATGCTAAGCTACTAAATTTGATGGACAATTTACTCTGGAAATATGGAAGCTGTTGCATTGGAATAGTATTTATTGAGTTTATACTCGTGCTTTCTTTGGCCTAAATTATTTGTGAATCATCATTCAAACATGGACTGTTCTACATCAGAGATCAGTTAAACCTTCATATTGAGGTTATCTAGTCATCCTGGAAGTATTTGACAAGACAATGGACATATCCACTGTGTTGAAACTCTCCACTGACTTTGCTTGCCTTTTGCCTCTTTGCTGCTTTACTAGCATTCAGCATTCTCACTCAGGACCTTGCTTCTTTTCAGAATACTCGACATATTACATTTAGTACTTGTAATGGCTTTATATTAGTATCAATAGGTAGCTGTAGCTAGGATGTACTCTTGTTTTACATGGCACATAATAGAATCTTGATGCAAGACTTGTTGATTATTTCTGGAAGCCAAATTGTCCATTGTATACTATTGTTGAATTTTCAGGATTTAATTCTGCTCCTGCTAACTTCTGGAAGAGATCCGGGTATAATTCCTCGTAATTCACACCCCCCAGAACCAGAAGGCTATGAAGGGAATGCAGAAGGTGCACAAACCCCCCAGTTACGCTTGCCTCGCATTAAGGAAGTTGACGTTAATGGGATTACTGTGAAGATTAAGTATTGCGACACCTGCATGCTTTACAGACCTCCCCGCTGCTCCCACTGTTCCATATGCAATAACTGTGTTGAGCGATTTGATCATCACTGCCCTTGGGTTGGTCAATGCATTGGACTGGTGAGATATGCATTATCTTAAAAGCATTGACATGCCTTGTTCAAGGATTACCATGAGATAGAGATTTACACTTTCATCCAAGTTGAATCTTGATTTTAGACTGTCACCATTAGAAAGACAAGTTGACACGAGTAAAGCAATTTCTCTTCCTCAAGTGGAGATCTGAAATGATATTAGACTATCTCCATTAGAAAGACAAGTTGACACAAGTAGAACAATTTCTCTTCCTTAATTGGACATCTGAAATGCAGGACTTTATTCTGTGATGTGGAACGAAGTCTGCAGATGATTGACTACATAATTAGATTTTGATTGCTGTGAATCATTTTTATGTTAAATAATTGCTATGTTTGAGGATGAAGCCGGTTTTTGTATTTTACCAAAACTTGTAGGTATGAAATTTATTAAACCTCGATGATATGCTTTGATCTCTTAATTGACACTCCCTCTACTTGGTTTTCTTGACTTGGCTTTCTCTGGCAAATAGATGACTTCTGGTGTGCAGTTTCTTAAATATAACTATTGTTCGAGGGAAAAACCAGTGTGTTAAGAAAGCTATTGTGAAATACAACCATTTGAAACGTTTTTTAAGAAAAGGTTAGATAATCGATACATGATATATTTTTGATGAACCAACCACCATTTGTTCATGAAAGTCAAACCCAAGTAATTCAATTATGGATGGAGTAAAAGGCGAGGGCCGCGAGGCATGGCGTGCTGGTATGTTCACTTATCCATGAGTGGGATTGCAAAAACCCAAATCAATCTTGCTTTAAGTAAAAGAGCATCACAGCAGATTTTCTATCTGAAGCATGTAATGCCTGTACCTTTGTTTTGCCAAATTTCTGGTTAAATATTTTCTGGTATATGAAATTCCCATCAAATTGACTAGGAGTACTTTCATTTTATATGGGTTGGCTAAAATAGATTTTCATTGTTGTAATGTTAGGTATAAAAAACTAATCCCTGTTGTCTATGTAAATAAGTTCAGGGTTAAAACCTCCATTAGGTTATTAACTTTGTTCATGTTGTTTAGAACGGGATATACCATATATTGCTAATTGCTTTTGACAGTATCAAGGTACTACTGAGGAGGTCTTAGATGTATTTGGTCGCTGGATGTCTTATTTTTAACCTTCATCAGCTACCACAGTTTGCACCTAATAGCAACAAATTATTGGTCGCTGAAAGTTTTATATTCAGCGACCACACATTATTGGTTGCTGGAAAGTTTCACCTACGGTGAATTAGCAACTAGCCAGCGACCACGGTTATTTGGTCTCTGGAGATCTTTAGCGACCAAATTTGCTGGTCGTTGGAACGCTTTCTTTTTTTTTTTTTTGTAGTGGTAGGAAAATATGGTTGTATGACCAAAAGTAGGAAAATATTTTTTGTGGAAAAAATTGTCAATCAAACAACACAAAAGTAGAAAATTATGTGAAAAAAATACATTTCCACGAAAAAATATTGACAATCAAACGCATCCTAACATTATACACATACTATCAAGCATCTTTCAATTGTACAAAGTACACGTGAATTCTTCAAAACAATATAAATTGCTAAGTCCTCAAAAGAATTGTCAAGAAAGTTCTAAATATTGCCGAGTTTTCCTGTTTGAGCTCCATTTTTGTTAGAATGAATTTTGAAATAGTAAAATGATGGAGAATGTGTAGTTAAAAATGAAGAAATTTTTTTTAGATTGTGTGATATGTATTTTATTGAAAAATGTGTGGTTCAAATGAAGAGAGAAAAATGTATTTTGAAAAAAAAATGGAGATCAAAGGTCAAAATAGAAAATTAAGTATATTGTAGTTCAAAAGGCAAAAAATAAAACATCGTTCTCAAAAATAATAATAATAATAATAATTAGTTAATAGTTTAATATTTCAAAGGAAATGAATAATTTTAGCCCTTATTTGAGCCTCATTATTTGGTAAAGAATGCATTTTGAAATAGTAAATTGATGTAAAATGTGTGATTAAAAAATAAGAAAAAGTTTTGAGTTTATGTGTAATATTATTTTATTGAAAAATGTATGGTTAAAAAAAAAAGAAAAATGTATTTTGAGAATAATGAGATAAAAAATGGCTTAATTGGCTTATCTATATGCGATTTGAGTTTTTAGCTCCTGTTTGAGCCTCATTTTTCCAAGAATATATTTTTTCAAACTCATTTCAACTACGCATTCTCCCATAAAATAATTATACGCATATTTCAAAAAAAAATTCCTTACATTTTAACAACATATTCTCCAAAAAATCGCTATTTCATGATACATTTTACCCCAAAAAATGGGAATCAAATATGGGCTTAATTCTATTCCCAAAATCGAGAACCATACTAGAGCAGGTCAATTGTTGGTTCAATTATAGGAAAATAATTATAAAATTTATTTTAATTTTTCTTTTTCTTTTATTCTTTTTGGACAAGTTTCTTTTGTTCCCAATCAAAACTGTCAACTTAGGTAAAATGATAATCGAATATTTTTAAAATTTTTATGTTAACAACATAGAGCGTTCTGTTANGTTAACAACATAGAGCGTTCTGTTATCAATCTGTCATTTTGTGTAGTAAAATATATCTAACTGAACTATATATTTTAATAATATAAGTCAATTTCGATTTACATGTACTGTAAATGAATTTCCAATAAGTTAATAATTTAGGTGAAATAATAAAGTTCTTGATCAATAGCATTTGTACTGAATTAAGAAGACAATGCTCCCTGTTGGGGTCCCATTAAGTGTTTTTTTTGGGAAAATGTATTTTAGAATATTTATTTTTAAAATATGTGTGGTTAAGAAAGAAGAAAAAAAATTTGGATTTACGGCTAATATTATTTTATTGGAGAATGTATGATAAAAAAATAGAAGACATGCCGACGAGGTCTACATAGCCACGGAGTATATACCATCACGCGCCCGAGGAGAAACGTACCCGATGTACAATGCCCGAGGAGATAGGACAAAATTGGTGGAATGGGCAACATTACTCCTCGGTGGTGACCTATGATTGATTATAACCTTAAAGTTTTGATTATAACAAACAAGTTAATATTGTTTACTAACAAGTTGAAATTAAGTGATTATAGTTTTTCAAAACATACGATCAAAAATTGATCAATGGTCATCAAAAGATCAAAAGCTATCATAACAAATTGGACCAATGAATGAAGTCAAGAACGAAGTCACACATTCAAGAACTTAAGAGCCAAATTTCGGAACAAGATAAAAAAACTTGATTTTTTAGATAAAATGTAAATATAGTAACACTTTGATATATTTAGTAATGAATGTTTAAGCTCAAAATCCTTCTATGCATTAAAAATAATTTTGTGCATTAAAAGTCATTTGAATGCAATGAATTGATCAAATGTAAAAATGATATTTGAACTTGAAAAATATTTTTTTTATCTTGAAAAGTCAGTTAAAAATACTTTTCAAAAGTCCTTGCCTTTCAAAACTTTCGAACAGCAACAAAAGGGTCAAAATGTAAAAAGACTAAATCCGTCAGGCGATCGACCGGTCGAAAGAGGCGGTCGATCGGATGGTGGTCAACCAACCAAAAGAAGCGATCGACCGAAAGTTTTCAACGGTCCAAACTTTGACTGTTTTGGCCTCTAGTTTTACTTTACAAACGGCTATATTGGTCATTCGGACAAGAGGCGGTTGACCAGATGAATCATCTGAACTCTCAGATTTTTTTGACGTTTTAAATTCTATAAATACCTCTACTTCTTGCATTCAATACAACATATTTCAAGAGCATCAAAGTGAGATATCTTTTGAGAGATTTCTTTAAATTTACATTTGCATTCATTTCATTTATTTTTTTCGTATAAAAAACTTCCATTGATTCAACCTCTTTAATCATCATTTTCATCAAAAGTTTTCATATTTCTTTTTGTACTTAATTATTTCTAATACTCATAAAAGAGAGACATATTTTGAACAAGATTTTTGAACTTACATTATACATATTTTTCCTACTACTTCATATTAAAAATTTTGATTGATTAAATCAAACTTGTAAAATCATCGTATTCATCAAAATTTCTCATCTCTTTTTTGGTACTTAATTTATTATAACCACTCATTGAAAGAGATATTATTTTGAAAAGATTTTTGAACTTATATTGCATTTATTTCTATTTCATTCTCTCATTGAAAAACTTTGAGTGATTGAATCAAATTTCTAATTATTATATACATCAAAGTTTTCTATCTAACATTTGAACTATCATTTATTGCTATTCATTGAAGTGTTATCCTCTCTTAATATGTAACTTGTTAGTATTATTTATTAACAGAGGAATTCCATTGTAAAATAACTTTAATAAAATGTGGATCGTATTGAAGTCCCGTAAAGATCAACATTGTATAAGGATTGGTGCTCATTGTTTTAAGTCACCGTGTGGATCATATTAAGGTCCAATACAGTTTAATAGTGTGGGTCATATTGAGGTCCCGTTAAAACTCAATAGTGGGTCGTGTTGTGATCCCATAAAACTTAATATTGTATAAGGATCAATGCTTCTTATTTGTAAATCATCGAAAGTGTTGTAAAGGGTTGGATTGCACCGTAAGTCAATCAACATGGTGAAAAGATTTTACTCGTGCCCTAGAGCTAGATATCGGGAGGACGTAGATCATTGCTTTGGATTGAACTTCCACAATTACATCGTTTGCATCATCTCTCCCTTTTACTTATCTATTTCATATTTGCGCTTATTATTTGAATTTATCGATTTAGTCTTTACTTGCTTGAAATTAGATTAATTATTCAAAAAAGTATTTATAACCCCCTCTTGGTTAGTTATCCTTAGACTATCACTCGGGTGTGCTCGAGTAGTCACAGTTTATGCCAATATCATATGACATTGGTGTAAAAGAAATAGAAGAATCAGTAGACAATTAGCATTCAGGGGGTCAATCCTCCCAACAATTTGGCATAGCAATTCTCGTCGCAATTTCATCCACACTTGAGGATGCATAACAATGCACTGTTCAGTTTCTGTAGTAAAGACTTTGCTTTGTGCTCTGGAGATGGATATA